TATTGTTTCAACTAATAGAAGTGTTGCATAATGAATCTGTTATTTGTTATGTGTTTTTTGTCTCTTTATTGTGGTAAAACCTTTACTTAGACTGTGGATTATTATCATTATTATTATTATTAATATTAATATTATTATCCTCATTGAATAAATAAACCAGTTCCAGCCTATAAACCTTTATTATTACTCTCCATCAACTTCAGTGTATCGATGCTCCCATTCAGTCAAGATTCACTATATGCTCTCAATTGTTCTTAGTGGTAACACTGGGAACATAAATTCTTCTTTTTCATTTTGTGACCGGTCCACATTAGAGGTCTTCTCATAATTTTCCAAGCCCCTTGTTTACCATTTTCTCTTCCTTTGGTGCTCATCTTTCTGCACAACAACATAAGCTTCATAAGCTCGCTGTGACGTCAAAGATTGATGGGCGAAAGATTTCCAGCTGAGAGTCATTTCCAACCCCTAAGGCTCTGGTGTGATACAACCAGGTGATAGTTTCCTTGGAGGATATTTGAAGGGGCATATTTTCTATCTTATCTCATCCAGGAGCAACCGAAGCATCGATCTTAAAGGATTTTTGCAGACTGCTTGTTATAGAATACAAAGCAAAGTATGCTGAACAAAAAATTACAAGGCTTGAGAAGTTTTGATCACGCTGAGCATTTAGTGGCCTAATGCCTAAATCAAATTTGGGAGGTCTTTACGGCCAGAGTGCTTGGCTTTTGTGACAGTTTTGTTGCCACCGAGCCCTTTATGCCTGTGTAACAGGATTTAACTTCTTATTGAGAGCACGGTTTTCAAAAGGCGTTTGGGACAGGCAGTTGATGCGACTTCAGTGCAAATGCACTGCTAGGCAAAAGCAAGCAGAGGGGCGGTATTGTGGTTTATTTGGTCCAGTTCACACACAGCGCATAATGGATATTTAACAGCCCCAGCTTGCTGGAAGTATACTGTGTCCCAAAATGGTGCTGGGGACATCCAAGGGGCTGTGTGACTGCCAGGATGACACACCCATTAAAATACACTTAGTGCATTTCACTGCTGCAGCTCCACTCTGGATTCATGCCACAAGAATAAACACAACAAGCCGCACATCCCACCCACTTGTTATTGGAAGCTATCGGTGAATTCATACAGCATGCTAGCGTATACCTGGTCTATGTTCTAGCGTATTCTCAGAGTAAGTAGGTGACACTGTTTTAGATGTTGTGCTATGTAAAATAAAATAAAATAAAACAAAAAAGTGAAATCTAGGGTAGCAGAAGTGAGCATGTTTCCCAGCTGTGCCTGTGGCAGAAGGAGGATCTCATCCTCTTCCTGCTCTGAGACCATACTGAATTATTGAAATAAGAGGCGCCTTTCTTTGTCTTGTAACTTGATGACAGACACTCAAGTCTCTATCCAGAGGCATAAACTCCTCCCCAACATTGGAATAGAAAGTTGTCTAATTGTAGCGTTCACACGGGATTGTGCAAAGAATTGAATTTGATTTAATTGTATGCAAAACGTCCCAACACAGCTTATGTTTGTGCAGATATCGAAAGATCTGCTGCTGATTTCTCACTAAGGAGGTTCTAAGAAGCAAAGAGAGTTACCTGAGCTCTTGTACTTGTAGCCATCAGCTGAGATTTCTCCAGAGTCGGCCTAATGATTCTTCTCATCATCGTGCTCCACTCAGCTTCCTCACACAATATGCAAGCGGTTTTGCATCAACCGTAGTTCTGCACGGTTATACAAGATGCATTTCAGACAGCTAGCATATTCCTTTCAGATATTATCTGTACTGCAGTAGCTCATGAAGCGTTCATGAAGATTGCAATTCCTCTTTTTGCAGATAAAATATTAACTCAGGTGTTCAGACTGCATATATTAGAGAAATATCTAGCAAAATGTTTCTTATGTGATAAAAGATATCGCCCCCTACAACTCAGACTGAACTGATTACAGTTCATTCAATAATATCTCAAGATGTGGTCTTACTAGAAGGATGGTGTGCTGCTGCAGCTCAAACAGCACAGTTTGTTAATCTGTAATGACGTCATAACCAAGCAGTTCACAACAAATGCAGATGTGTTCATCCACATCAGTGTTTTTTATATATAAACTTATATATAAAAAATAAGGAAATTTGTGTTTGATGAGTTATTTCTTTGTTATAACGATGCTTTTTTTGGCATCTTAGACCATTTTCCTATACTATTCTATTCCTATACTATTTCCTATACTATCCCACATTTGTGAGGAGAATGCATTTGTGGGTTGAGCAGCAGACTTGAGTGTGTGGGTTGCGCCCATTAAAACCTTGCCAAATCTTCTCTGTCAATGCCAGCCAGCCTATTCTGTGACCAGCACAACCACATTGGCTGACTTGCGATAAATGCTGGTTGAAAAATGGGATGCCATCCTACAGCAATGTGTGACCAAGCTGGTGACCAGCATGAGGAGGAGGCCGGGCTGTTTTGACTGCGTATGGTTCTTCCACATGCTTCTGAGGTCCCCGTTAGTTAAGTTAGTAAAACCTCAATCATCCAGTCCAATACATAACACCAAACAAGAGGCAATAGTAGAATAAGCTGGTTGGCACTGACAGATAAGGTTTGGAAAGTTTTACATACTCAACTCTGTTGCTCAACCCACACGTAAATGTTCCTTACAAATGTAGCACAGTTTAAGGGGAAATCAACCGGCTTCCCGGTAGTGTAAGATTTATTGCCAAGCAGCATATATATATACATATATATATATATATATATATATATATATATATATATACACACATACATACAGTTATGTCTGAACCACAGTGAGGTGAAAATTGCAGAGAACAGGCCGGACAGATATGTTAAATTTAGTTTTCAAGTGTGCAAAAAGAGGTACTGACTAGTCAAAACCCCAGTGAAGCTGACTCTTGGTGTGGGTGATCGATTTGTACGTGGTCATTGAACTGAGCTTAGAGGTAGTTTGTATTCTATTAGACATCTCATGGGCTTTGCAACAATGGAACAAAAGGGAATGCTGATGCCTAATTGCTGGCAAACAAAAGGACAGACACCACTTGCATCATGTCTGTGGACTGTTACTTCTGCTGCCGCTGTTTATAGGCTTTTTCTCCCTCAGTAGGTTTCACTTGTACATGTGCTTTGAGAGCTTTCTGCTCCCGTTGTGACTGAAGCTAGTGTGTATGGCTCTGTTCTAGCTGAAAGCTGTGTTTGATGTAGCTTTTATTTGTTGAATTGTTCATGTACCAACATTACACAAACTGTGTTCTGTATTTCTTGTACTATTAACGTCGGCAATAGAGAAATGCCACAATTCATACAACAAAACTGATTTGTTGAACGGAGAAATTGTGTGCGGAACATGCAACACATAAGTATAACTTAAGTCATATTTAGATATATATTAGATTTGATTGCACAGGTCTATAAATGGTGCTATATTGTGCTTCTCCTCTTCCTTCATAATCCCACTGTTGTCCTTGCACTGTTAGTAATAGTAGTTAAAATAGTAGTTAAAAGCAGACATTGAGAATGGTTTACAGGATTCAATAAAGATTGTGAATGTGAGTGCTTGCTTGGCGACCAAGGTCACCATTTCCCAATCCATCATAGTACTAAAATAAAACCTAAAATGTCTTTATATAAAATTATAAGTTTTTGACCTGAAGCCTGAGATTTTGTAGATAACTAGTAGTTATAATAAGTAATTGTAACAAGACAGACTGATAGATAGATGTATCTATAGCTTTTAAAGGATGAAGAAACTGTTTTGTGCATCACCATTAAAAATGATTCAGTTCCTGACGCGTCACTCTGGGAACCCATTGGCTAATCTGTTAACTCAGCAGATTTTGGGGGCTTTTGGGCCAGTGTATCCAATCAAGATTTGTTTTTTAAGTTCACTAGTTAATGTTTAGGAATTTATGATGCTATACGCATGTTCTGCTTTAAGGGTGGCTGTAGCTCAGGAGACAGAGCAGGTCATCCACTAATTGGAGGGTTGGTGGTTTGATCCCTGGCTGCTCCAGTCTGCACGCAATTTGAACCCCAAGTTGCTCTCTGATGTGTGATTGTTAGATAGAAAGCACTTAGGCGTAGAAAAAAATGCTTTGGTGAATTTGGGAAGGTTGTATAAAGTGCTTTGAGTGCTATAGACAAACCAATCCATTTACTGCATGCAACCAAAGCTGCCTTAAATCTGATTGGTTAATTGAACAAAACCAACAATGATGTCCTTTGGATAAAAAACAGTAGTAGTACCAGTAACACAGAACAGAAAATGCCGTGACAGTTCTAAAATGTTTTGACTTTTTGCCCTTTTTACAGATTCAGTACTTTTGAATTTTGCACTGACAGAAAGGAAGACTTTACCTACGATGGGAAGCAAAAATATGTCATTGTAGTTAATAGATTATTGAAAGTACTTATTTTTTTGCAGCTTTAGAAAATACCTACTGACTAGCTATAAAAAACCGTTCACCCATTTTGCTCTCTCTTCTTTTGCCCTTTGTGTCTTTTCATTTCTTTCTTTTATCGACCAGAAATCGAAAATAAAGAGACGTGATTGAAAATTGAATTTTCCTCTCCTCTTGAGTGATGGTGGCCTGTAATCTACAATCATTATTCCACTATGAAGGAGTTTGCTAGCTGATGAAAGCAGGAAGAAGCATTGTTTTCTTTGACCAAGAAAGCACTGAAATGTGTGCTGTCAGAAATGGCATGAGCCTTCATCACTGAAGACCTAAAAATAGATTAAAGGGGAACGGGAACTGAACAAATTTACTGCTCAGTGTATATTAATGTATTTGTGTACAATAAAAAAACCATTACCCATTACACTTGTGGGGGATAATAATACATGAAAGATGGTCTTATGTTGCTAAAATCTCACAACAGTCTGCTAAAGGCAAATTATCTGCAGAATCGGTGGCTGATGAAATTCAAAGCATACACTTCTGTCTTGTGTGATGTGTTTTTGCTCATGTTTATTTCGTGCAGATCTCAGCAATACTGTATAGAGCATGAGGCTGATGTGGAAATCCCTGGACAAGATGAGATGTCTGAGGAAACGCTCCACTATTCCCTTCCTCGGCTTCCTCATCACCTTCCTCCTCTTCCTGAACCTTTACATTGAAGATGGCTACGTGCTGGTTAGTCAATTGTTCTACGTATGCGCATTTGCAGAAGTGTTTTTTACAGAGCATTAGACACGTTATGTTTGCATTTCTTCTGGATGTCTTCTTGATGAACACTTGACCACATTTCCAGACGTGCTTCCTGTTTGATGTACAGTTGCTCTTTTGTAAGAGAGACATATTTAAATTTTAATGAGGTGGACACATTGAGATCATCTTTATGATTTATCATTTATTCATGATGCCAGCAACTCTTGTTGATCTCAGTATATTATCAGTGTTTGTTCTTTAAAATATTAAGGTGGTTTGCTTTTTCTCCTCACTGCCTGCAGGGGTTTAAATATTTCTTTCGTCTTCTGAAATGGAGGTTTAGTTGTGTCATGTCAATAGATTTGATATCAATATAAAGCAGAAAGAAATGTGTTTTCCGAGGCACACTTGAGAAAATAGTGTTTTAAGCTACTTAGCTAAATTTGAATACTTGAAAAAATGTATATAATATGAAGTTTCACAACATAGGGGTATGTCTGCTGAGGATGAACTGCACAAAATAGTCAAATGGTCCTGGTCAAACACAGATTTGGGGTGTGTGAGGGGCTGCACTGTCAACTGCAATGTTTTTCATGAGTTTAAGGCTGTATCAGTGGTTCTGTATGTTTAGAAGCCTTGTAAAGTTTTATCCAGTACTGAAATGATCAACAGTATCCTAATATACACAAACCCTACTACACATACTATACATAGCTAGTTTTCTCAGCTATCCATCAACCTGGCTCTTCACAAAATGTATCTAGTTCTTCTTCTTCTGATCAGGAAAATAGGAAAATTGTTCTTTTAATTTTTGCACATAAAGAAGCTTAATTACAGGATAAAAGTACTGCTAGCTACTAAGCTATACACTTTAAAAACACCTTGAAGCAACTCTTGTTGTGATATGGCGCTGTTGCGATTGTACATAAAATAGACTTGAACTGAATTTAAACTGAATACTCTGAAAATCAATAGATGTTAATGCATGTCAAAGAGCTTCAATAATGAAGGAAAATGATTTCAGTCTTAAACTTAACTTAAACAGGTTTTCCATGTTTTCTGCGGAAATGTTTAAATATGTATAATATGCCAAGACACAATTTTTTTACTTTTCATTTACTTGTAAAAGGAAACATCTGATGTCCACCTTATTTGATGCTGAGATGTGAAATACTTTATTTATTTGATAATTGGGAACTTTAATAATTTGCATAATTAGATTTTTTTTGCAGATTTTTTTTGTGTACATCAGTTCATAATGTGTGTGTTTTTTTTTTTAATGTTTTGCTCCAGGAAGGGGATAAAAGGCAGCTTAGGGAAACATCAGTCCACCCTTCAAGCTCAGAACGATATGTCCACACCTTCAGAGACCTGAGTAATTTCTCTGGAACCATTAACGTCACATATCGCTATCTCGCTGGTACCCCACTGAACCGCAAGAGTAAGTTTACTGTTTCTTTTTAATAGAAATTTACATTGAGTCTTTCATGGGCCGGGGCAAATTACAGTGAATTGTATTTGCAAGCAGAGGATGCAAAATTAAATTTAAAATCTGTGACATTGGGATTTAAAGCATAGCAATAAAGCGAAACTGCTCCACAGGGGCTTCTTTACCTCAACATTAAATTCTTCTTTAGTGCTTTGTGCTTTATTCACAAAGCTTTGATGTCTATTTTCCCTCATAGACAATAACTGTGTGCTGTTAAATAAGTGAGCACTGAGCACAATTGTTTATTCAGCAAAAATATTTAGAAAATGCTTTAGATAAATACAAATGCATTCAAAAATTTGTATTACATTTATTTTCTCAAATACTACTGGTGGACTTTGACATAGTTTGAATTCAAAGTGACTTTCAACTACGCTGGAACTTTGGTCATGTGATAAGGGCTGATTGTAAATAGAGATCAGCTGATGACCATTTGAAGGCTCAGGAAGCAACTAATAAGCATACCTTGAAATAAATTTACTTAAACTCTAATTTCACGTTTACAATTTTGGGAGTATATTTTCTCAGACAGCGTTAAAACTTATGCAGTTCATCTGAAACCTGTCCTTTAAAGATGTTTTTGGAAATAGTGATCAAAGTTGACATTCATATTTTTTATTCACAGAGTATCTCACCATCGGGCTCTCATCTGTCAAAAGAAAAAGAGGAAACTACCTCCTGGAAACGATCAAATCCATATTTGATCAGTCCAGTTACGAGGAACTGAAAGAGATTGTGGTTGTCGTCCATCTGGCGGACTTCGACCTGGTCTGGTGTGAGAACCTGGTGCAGGAAATCACCAGGAAGTTTGCACACCACATCATAGCTGGACGTCTCTTAGTAATCCAAGCTCCAGAGGAGTACTATCCGTCTCTGGACGGATTGAAAAGGAACTACAACGACCCAGAGGACAGGGTCCGTTTCCGCTCCAAGCAGAACGTGGACTACGCTTTCCTGCTCAACTTCTGCACAAACCTCTCCGACTTCTACATGATGTTAGAGGAAGATGTGCGCTGCTCCAGGAACTTCCTGACGGCACTGAAGAAGGTGATCACCTCCAGAGAAGGTTCCTACTGGGTGATGTTGGAATTCTCCAAGCTGGGCTACATCGGGAAGCTGTATCACTCCAGAGACCTGCCGCGCCTGGCTCATTTCCTGCTCATGTTCTACCAGGAAATGCCCTGCGACTGGCTCCTCATCCACTTCAGAGGCCTGCTGGCACAGAAGGACGTGATCCGCTTCAAGCCTTCACTGTTCCAGCACATGGGCTACTACTCCTCTTACAAGGGTGCCGAGAACAAGCTGAAGGACGATGACTTTGAGGAAGACTCCATAGACATTCCCGACAACCCCCCCGCCAGCCTTTACACAAACATCAATGTCTTTGAAAACTATGACGCCACCAAGGCTTACAGCACAGTGGACGAATACTTTTGGGGAAAACCTCCCTCCACTGGAGATTTCTTTATTGTAGTCTTTAACAAATCTACCAAAATCAGTAAAATTAAGATTGTTACTGGGTCTGACGACCGGCAGAATGACATTCTTCATCACGGAGCTCTGGAAGTAGGAGAGAAATTAGTTGGGACTAAAAAAGGCAAACAGTGTTCCTCTTATATCACATTAGGAGAGTTTAAAAATGGCAACATTGAGGTCCATGACGTAGACCACAAAATAGCCTTTGACATTGAGTGTGTACGCATTGTGGTCACAGGCAGCCAGAAAGAATGGCTCATTATCAGAAGTATAAGTTTATGGACTACACAACCCCCCAGCCAATGATGACTATACAGAGACTTTTAATATGTCATAAAGGCAAAGGTTTTTATTATTATTTAGTAATGTATGTATTTCCAGATTTATTTATTCATTTTATATGTATTTATTGATACTCGTTTTGATTGCCAAATCAATCTATAGTTTTTTACCTGCAAGTTGTACTCTTAGTGGAGCATCTTCACAGTCATTCTCAAGGACTGTTCAGCTGACCTCAAAGTGTTCATCAACACATGTTGAAGTGTTACAGGAGTTTATCCATTTCAGCTTTTGATAGCGATCCTTAATACACGGCTGGGTGATAATTCACTGTTATTGTTTAGCAGCTTTAAGTAATATCATGTCATAATGTTCTGATTGTTGGGTTTTTGTTTTGCTTTGACTATTCTCCTGCCCAAAGGAAAATATGGTTTACAATTTCAGTATTTTGTTTCTGTAACAAAATACCATGAAAAGACTAAAACATACTATTTTGTACTCTCTATCTCCAGTCTGATATACAGCATGTTGTTTCTCAGTGTCGTTAAGCTCAGTTATCCAAAATATAATTTTATCCTGTTGCTGCTCTTACATGGTTGCCAAAGCACTAAATACATAATAATGTGTCTTTTGCTTACGGCGCCCAGCAGTAACAGCAGTGGAGTTCAGGCATACTTTTAAAAAAATGTGGAAAGTTTTTGAGAGATTGAGCAGAGTTTTTGTGTTGGCTTTTTTTTTTCATGGGAAAGTTGTGGGGAAATTCAGTTGAAAGTGTAGTCATTAAGAGTTTTTCTTCATACATTCACACATTTAATATGCTCAAAATGATAACTGTGAAAGACAAGCACCGCATTGAACACCGTCTAGGTCATAAATGCATGATTATGCGTCCATTTGGTGTACAGTATCATTGATATTTAATAACTGTCAAATTTTAGAAACTGTTGAGCTGATACTACGCTCAGTCATCACACCCACTCACCCATTAGTAATTAAAATAACTATATATTATTTAGGAATGTTTTTGAAAGCTTTTCAGGAAGGCACTTCATGTAAATGATGAACACAAATTTTATTTGTAGGACAGTGTACTACTGATTTGCTGCAGTTTTTTGTTTCGGAGTATTATGA